TCGCCTCATTCCCAACCTCAGGGCAGGTCGGCTTCGCCTCATTCCCATCCTCCAACTGTGAAAGGTGAGACACTCCAGCTTTCTTCTCGAGAGGTGTTGGCTTGGATCCATCGTCCTCAGGAGCCTTGGGAGGGCTGCCATGAGAAGCGGCAGAAGCCAGCAAATCCATCTGACCGCCATCCATAGGTTGGGTCTCCTGCTGGTCGGTGCCTGCACGGTACCCGCAATCATGGAGCAGATATTGATCATGAATCAGGTCTATGGCCTAGGAAAAAAAACGCTTCAAGTAGGCTCTTTGCATCCGGGCTGCATGGTTTTGGCTGCTCTTTGGATGGTGCCGGCGGCGGTGGCATCGTAGCTCCTGAACACGGTGAAGCAGGAGGTCTTCCACTTGGGTGCTTTGACTCCGACTGCGCAAAGCCCAAAGCTTTCTCCCAATCACCTCGAGCTTGTTGCACCGCAAGTGCTGCAAGTTCTTTTGTGAATCCCAGCTCGACCAAACCATCAGCCACATGCTTCTCAAACACCTTCTTGTGCTGCTCATTTGTGGAGGTCATCTCCGTTGGGTCCTTCGTGAAAACGTTCTCCACTGCCTCCTGCTCCAGCAAGCTTTGCAGGCGAGCTTCCTCAAGTTGGATGTCCTCCATCAGCTGGAGCTCTGCTTCGAGCCGCTTGAGTGCTTCCACCTCCTTCTCCATATCTTCACGGCTTCGATCAGCATCCTTCGTGGCTTCTGGAGTTGTTGAACCTGTCGTGGCAAAGCCTGTGTCGCCTGGGACTGTGGCCTTTTCACAGGTGTCCAAATTGCCAACCTTGGCTTCCTCAGCGTCTGCATCCTTTGGGACACGAGTAGGATGAGCACAGGGCTTGGCCTTAATGTCAGTGATGTAGCCAGTCATTCCACAGCGAAGACATTCATATCCATGAGTCTTGGATTTCACTGTGTAGTGGCCTGGACGTGAGTGGTCCGGACCTCCCAAGGCTGCAGGTGTAGCTTCACCACCTCAAAGGTTAAGTGTCTTTTTTGAGCGGAGTGTCAGATTAAGATAGATTTTAAGACGTGACATGATGCATGCATGAAGTATACGTCAATCAAGCACGAACCGCCTTCAGGCATAATCTCCGGAGCTGGCAGAGGAGGGCAGCTGGCAGACGGAGTGGAGCCTGTCCGTCCGTATAGAACCCTTTTGCTTTCATGAAATCCACCTAGGTATGAAAAGCTTCCATGATCTTCCATGAAGTTAGACCATGCCTTGGTCCACTTTCGGTTCATCTCCAGGTTCAGGAACATGATAGGGCAGCGTTTCCCCCTGCACAGATCTATAGGGTGGTCGGGGTGGTTGATTAAAAGGAACTTCAGCAGTTTCGTTTCAACAGTTGAGTTGGGCCTCAGCTTCAACAACCGGATCATGTTCTTCCGGTTCAGTTTCTGCATCTTCTTCACAACCATATCCGCACTCACAGTCACAGTCGGCTGCACCTCAATAGCAGTCTCAATAGCCACGTGTGGGATTTCTGTTTTTAAACAGGGTTGGATAGGGGAGATTGTGAGGGCACTGGTTCAAATCATGGCACCGGAATCCGTAGATCTGGCAGGCGAAGGTCTGGCTTCCGGAATTGGGATCCCGGCTATCGACATGAGAGTTCTCATCTCTGGTTCCCTAGGCCGATGCCCTCGTGAGCAAGCCCGAGCAAAGATATAGACCAGTCGCCTGAGGATCCAGGCTTCCAGCTTGACATGGCCACCTAAGTGAAACACATCCATAACCCTGGGTTGCTATCCTGCATGTTTCGAACAATTCACCATGGAATGTTGAGACCCGAACGTGAAGGTAAAGATTTCCCCCGGCGGCGGCAATGATGCAACATCATTTCCACCGACTCCATGATGGCAGAGAGGGAAGGACGCAAACCTCACAGGTTTCCAAATCTCAACCGTGGCAATCCCTCCAAGTTGTATCATTGTTGATGTTGAATCAACAACCCTGCATCACCTATGCCACCCTACCCTTTTCCACTCAACCCAACTAAGACAGGAAACCCAAGTGCCGGATGATTGGAGCCAGCCATTCGCTGTTATGGCAGACCTCTTTGCGATTCAGGGTTTGCGCCTTTCCAGTCCTTGCTAGATACCCTCCAGCTGCTGAAACACAAAGCTTCTCGCTGGAACTCCAACCAGTGAACACGTCCTTGCTGGACTGGTTGTAGGCTGCAGCCATGAATGCAAAGTAAGCTAGCCTGATCTAGCATGGACTTTTTGGGCCAAAAGACCTAAGAGGGTCAAGTGATGAAATGCTTCTCCACGGCATGTTTGCCAGGATCTGGAGATTCTCATCAAGACCGCGAGTGCACAGCACACACACAGCACAACAATTATGCGGCCTTGGAGGCATCCTGGGCCGGCCACCACTAAAGAAATTGAGCCAGCATGGCTCAAAATGTGATGCCTGCTCTTTAGAAGGATTGCCAAACCCTCTTGGCTCCAAAAAGTGCTCGAACATGGCTGGACATCAAAGAACGCTCGTTTGGCCTAATAACGCTCGGTTGGTTGAAAAGTGTATCGAAAAGGTGGTGGAGCACTTTTTTGTGCTCGTTGGAAGTTGTAGGTATATATAATATATATATATATTTGTTATATATATATATATATGAGCATCCGACAACACTTCCGTACATGATCCTATCTGTACTTTAGTCATGAGCTGCCTTAGAAGTTTAGTCCGCCACTCATATGATGTTTCTCAAAGATGGAGTTGAAAACTGTTTCCGATTCATCGTTGGGGCACTTTCTTGGCAAAGACCGGTGCTTTTTGTTGCTTTGCGCCTGACCTATCCCGATCCCACCCAAGTGCGATGTTTTGCTTGTCCATTTGCCTGGTTCAGGTGGAGTGTTGTATTACCAAATGCTATACCAGACCTATCACTAATGCCGGGCCTCAGCAGGTGTAGCTGGAGGCTAGGATTCGTTTTTGCTACGAAGAACTGGCCTTGTTTGCAGCCATTTTGGCTGATCAGAGTGGAGTTTCGGCTGATCAGTATATAGTTGCTGTGTCCCATCGTCGGGGCGTAGACACGTCTGACCGGAGAGGCTGTAAGTAGACGTAAGTGACGCCCCATGGAGACGATGAGAGATGCCGACTCCGCAGGGCTGACCTGCGCAAAACTGGGTCAGTTTGCTACACCCGTGGCCAACACTGGTCGGCGCACAAGGACTGGGATCCGAACAGTTTTTTGTGGTTTTTGATGTTTTTTTGTGTTCTTATTCCTTACTTGGACACATACACGGACCACCTACCCGACCGAACCGCGTACGCGGGCCGCTGTGTCACGCGGCCTACCTGGCGCTACTCAGGACCACGACCACCTTGGAATCGAAGTGCCCTGTCGCGATCGGGACGAAACCAGGCGAGGCGGTTGAAGCCTGGGCGCCCTGGCGGTCGATCCTGGAAGTGGTTGACAGGAGTCCAAAACCAACAGCACCACATGGTATTAGGATGGTGAGGACGGATGAATGATGAACAGAACACATGGTATTTCGGGAGTCCACCAACCACTCGATCTATACGTAATATATAGGTCTGTGCTTTTGCAGCACCTGCCTTGGTCGACCCAACCCTCCAGACATCTCCAGGTCCACCTCCAAACCTTTTCCTTGTGACGTTGAGCCCGATCCCCATGAACTTGGATGCGGCGCTGGCAAAATTGCTCAAGACCTTGGGAGTGCACGAGATGGACAGGGTCTCTGCGCAGGACCTTTGGACCATGGGGTGAAAAGTTCAGGTGGTGGTGGCGCATCATTTCTATAGGGCTGCAGGGTCAACACAAACCCCATCCAAACCTTGAATCTGGAATTTGTGGAAGAATCTTTGCAGGAGCTGAGAGGCCACCCAAACTTTTGCCACGTTCTTTTTCAGCTGGGCCATGCTAGGAGATCCACTTCTCCGTGACTTCGAAGAAGATCGCATTGGGCCTCCAAGCTCTCAATGGCCTGGCCGCCATCGGGAGACACAAGCTGGAGGTGACTGTTCACGAAGCACCTTCAGCCATGACGATGGGACCAGGTTCAATTGGTGGCCACGCTCAT